CTCAAAACAAAAAAAAAAAGGTAATGCAAGTTGGAAGAGAGCAAAACACGCTCAGTAAGGACTGTACCTTTTGACTGAGTGCAGTGGCTAATGCCTATAATCCCACACTTTGGAGACAGCCAGATCTCCTGAGGTCGGGAGTTCGAGACCAGCCTGGCCAACATGGTGAAACCCTGTTTCTACTAAAAATACAAAAATTTGGCCGGGCGTGGTGGTGCGTGCCTGTAATCTCAGCCATTCGGGAGGCTGAGGCAAGCAAATCACTTAAACCTGGGAGGCAGAGGTTGTGGTGAGCTGAGATCATGCCACTGCACTCCAGCCTAGGCAATGAGAGCAAAACTGTCTCAAAAAAAAAAAAAAAAAAAAAAATTTAGCCGGGCGTGGTGGCAGGCTACTCGGGAGGCTGAGGCAGGAAAATTGCTGGAACCAGGGAGGCAGAGGTTGCAGTGAGCTGAGATTGCGTCACTGCACTCCAACCTGAGTGACAGAGCGAGACTCCATTTCAAATAAATAAATAAATAAATAAATGTACATTTCACTGTCTACATATATGCTAGCCCACATGTATGTTTGTCTTTAAATCTTTCTTTATTCGTTTTTTTTTTTTTTCTGGCCATGTCTTTTCCAGGGTCCAGTCCAGGATACTGCACTACATTTAGTCAGGGATTGTTTTTATTTCACCAACTTAGCTTGGGGGCCTTGTCTGGCTGGTGAAGGAGGACCTTCCCTCACAAGTGGTTCTGTGAACACTGCATTGCTCCTAACTCTCTGGATGCCGCTACGATGTCAACATAAATAAGTGGTGAGAACATAAGACCTTGAGAAGTCCTGCCAGAATCCACGCCCTCGCCTACCCTGCTTGCTGCTGCTTTTGTGAGCCCTTTTAGGGAAACTGGGAGAGAATGTTCTTAGCAGTTCTCCGCCAATTGAATCAGCAGACATTGATTGAGCCCTTACTGTGTGCATGGTCCTCTGGTAGATGCTATGGAGGAAATCAAAGTTGAATGAGACCTTTTCCCACTTTTTAGGGCAGACATCCAGCCAGAGAGGCAGCCAGACCCCATGGACTGCAACACCTTGTAGAGGTGAGAGGCAGGTCGCAGCAGCAGGAAGGGAGGTAGGGCAATGCATTTCACCTGGGCTTCCTAGAGCAGGTGACTCTGAACCACGCCTTAAAGGAAAGGAGGATTTCAATGGTAAAGGCAAAAGGAAACTGTGTTCTGGGCTGAAGGAACAGCGTAAGCAAAGATACAGAGGTGTGAAAATTGCGGGCAGATGCAGAGAACCGGCAGCCCAACATTCCTGGACTTGAATGTGTTATCAAGGAGAGAGGGGGCCCCAAAGAAGGCTTTGAATGCCAGGGCAGGAATCCACCTCCCTCCAGCAGGCAGGGAGAAGCGCTGGAGACTCCCACACAGCCAAGTGAGATCAGAGCTACAGCTGAGCTCCAGGGAGGAGCGGGTGGCATGGTGCAAGGTGATTTCTCTTGTCTTCTTGGGGTGATGAGCCAGCCCAGGGGGTGGGGGGAGGGTAGGGTCCAGGAATGGAAGTGAGGAGAGGCAGATGGGGAAAGGCTGAAGTGTGATAATAGGATGTGAGTGTGAGGATGAGGATGGGGGTGGAAGTCGGGGGACTGAGGCCATGAATCTCCTGGGCAGAGGAGGGGGTGTCTGTGTTGAAGGGGCTGTTGAGGTGAAGGTGCTGGAGGTCAGGTCCTCATGCTGGGGTCAGGCTGGAGCCTGGTAGCCAGGCATAAATGTGGCGTCATCAGTGAAGAGAGGGTGGCAAGGGGTCCTCAGGGCTGAAGAGGAAAGAGACCAACCCACCTCGCAGGGGTCATATCCTCAATGTCTCTGTCACCCCAGGATTTTTGACCCCTTGCATAACTTGTAAAGGGGTCCAGGCCCATGGAAAGCCAAACTGTTTACTGAGCTGATGGACAGCACCATGCATGGACCTTTCTAGAAGCGGTCTTGTCATCTCCCAGCTCTTAGCCTCCCCAGGGCCCCGCCACTCAGAATACGGGACAAGCTCCTCAGCCTTACAGGCAAGGCCCATCACAACCTAGTGCCACCACAGCCCATCGCCCACCCTGCCCACTTTTTCTAGCCACTGACAACCTTCCCTGCATTGCAGCTCCCCTAGGAAGCCCCTTTAACTTCTGCAGCCCAGGGGTTGGCTCCCCTGTCGCGGTCCAGGAGAACTCGCTGTACAGATCTCTCCCCGCCGCCATGCGCTGGGCTGTGGCTCCTTCATGGGCACTGCTGGACTGGAGCCAGAGGGGCCACATCCCACTTGTTCCCAGGGCTTCCACCCAGCAAATGGTAGTGAAGGAACAGGAAGTCCTGTTTTGAGAGCCCCCAGCTAGACTGGGGTTCCAGTACCACAGCAGCCAGCAATCTGCCCTAAGCAGAAAAGTAGGGGCTAGATGTAGGTGCACCTCTGCCAAGACCAGTTCGGTCGCAGGGACCCCAACCCAGGCGGCGCTGAAGGAATTAAGAAACAGACACAGAGATAGAGAGCAAAAAGGTGTGGGACATGACATTTTGGGCTGGATGATAAGAAAGGTGTGGGACAACAGGGGAACCTCAGCATTCCCAGCTGAGAGCCTCATACATTTATTGATAGCAAACAAGTGATAATCATCATTTAACTAAAAGCATTCTTCGCAGGGAACAAAGCATTCTTTACTGGTGGAAAGAAACGGGCTCTGGTGTTTATCTCCTGCAGCTGGAGCATGTGGTCAGGAGCCTGCTATTGTTTGTGGTTCAGAAGCACCCCAAGCAGTCTTCTGCCCAAGAGCTGGCCAGGTATTTCTTTCCCTCGCTCCAGTAAACCAGCTACCTCTAGCAATGTGCGTCTCTGCCATCACGAGGATCTCAGTGCTACAGTTAGCCTGTATCTTTAATGCCTGTTTATGCTAGCTTAGGGCCTGCTCCCAACACACCTCTCATGGGACACTTCTTGAACCTAGTGGACGACCTCATGCCTAGTGTCTGACCAGTGACCAGAGGTCCCTCACATGGGAAACGTCCGTGTCCAGTTCATGTTGCCTGACCACCTCGCTCTGCCACTGGGAGCCTGGCCTAGGGCAGCCCCTGTTGTTCTGATGAAAAGTGCAAATTCAACCCACCACTCCACCAGGAAGCAGGTCCAAAGATTTTTGATAGAGAACCTGGGCAAGGAAGGTGTAATGAAACTGAGGAAAGTCCTCGTCCCTGGGCACAGGAGGCAGGAGTGAAGAGTCAGGCAGAGAAAGATGAGAGCGCGTGGCAACTAACAGTAGATGGAAGGGAAGAGGTCATGGGTCAGTACGTTTGCTGGCCAAATGCCTGACTGTTCTTTTTAAAGGAAGTAGCAGGAAAGCAGTCTGCCAGGCAGGAGCGATGCCTTTAAGTGTTCTTTTCTTTTTTTTTCTCTCTTTTTTTGGCGGGGTGAGGGCTGAGACTGTGGGATTTTCTAGATCTTTTCTTTTTTAGTGGTTGTGGTATGGTGCGGTGGTGGGGGAGGGGGTAGGTCTCACTATGTTGCCCAGCCCTGGTCTCGAACTCCTGGCCTCAAGCAATCTTCCTGCCTTGGATCACAGGCCTAAGCCTAATAGCACCCTGTCAGGCCTCTAAATTCTTATCTCTGCAGTCATGCTGGGTGTGGTGTAGTCCTGGAAACTGGGCCAAGGGGTGACTGAGCCCTGCTTCTGGTAGAAAAAATTTAGATCTGATCAAAATGTTATCTGATAACATAAATGTGGTGTCATCAGTGAAGAGGGTGTGGCAGTGGGTCCTCAGGGCAGAAGAGGAAAGAGACCAACTCACATGGCCATGTCCTCAATTCCACTGTCACCCCAGGATCTGGATGCCTGATCAAAATGCATGCCAAGGCAACATAAAATCCTAAGAATTCACTACAAGTACTCGTTCTTATTTGTCTTAGACTTGCTACTTTCAGACTCAAAGGGTGCACCTTCCCTCCTTTACTGCGGGATTTAGTGCCTGAATCTGCTCACCCCAAACATCCTCTTCAGAACTTGGGGTTTCCGATCCTTTCCAGGCAGGTATTTGTAATCCCTCACGTGGAGGGCTCCTCCACGTCCCTAGTTTATACATTCATTTGCTCATCTGTACAACTATTAAGACTAGCTTGTACCAGGCTCTGCTGAGGACCCCAGGACACGGTGGGGACACAGTGGACACAGGCTGTCCGTTTGCCAAGGGGGCCAGTAAACCACTAAACAAAGAGCAGCCTTCAACCCTGCGGCGCCGGCCAGCGAGCACCCATAGGCCTAGCTCGCTATGGCTGCTCCCTGGGCCTGGGCCAGCAGCTCCTGGTCTCACGCGGGCGCGGTGGCAGCTGTCGGGACTGCCCGGGGGTGGGGGCCCTGATGGGTTCCAGCAGGTGGGCGCGGACAGGGCGGTGCAGACAGGGCGGTGCGAACAGGGCCGCGCGAAGGCGGGGCCTGCTGCGTGGGGCGTGCCCTGATTGGGCGGGGCCTGCTGCGTGGGGCGGGGCCTGATTGGGCGGGGCCTGCTGCGTGGGGCGTGCCCTGATTGGGCGGGGCCTGCTGCGTGGACACGTGGCCTTCCTGGGATGGGGCGGATGGCTTAGGGGCGGGGCCCGGAACTGTGAGCGCCCCCCGGCTCCCGCGACCTATATAGGCGGGCGTGAAGGCCGCGCATTCGCCGGACCAGAGCAATGGGTGAAAACGCTCTCCCAGGGCCCCTTAGACTTGAGTGGGACGGGGAGGCCTCGCGCGAGCCTTCCCATCCGTTTGGGACAGTGGAGGAGGACGGGCTGGAGGGGGGGTTTCGCCGACCGTGTCGCGGGTGCGGCAGCTCCTTCCTGGGCAGTCACAGGGCGTGAGAGCGCGACCGGCCAGGAAGCGGGGGCCCCGAGACACGGCCGCACTTGGCCTGGCAGGGTTCCGGGAGCCCGAATTAGCCGAGCATGCGCGTGGGTGTCGGGGGCGCGGAGGCGTCCAGCCCTGCAGGGGCGGCGGTGGGTCCTGGAGTCCAGCTGCCTGCCGTAAATTTTCGCTCCATCTCTGTCCCCCAGTGTGACCTTGGGCATGTAGTGCTGCTCCCAGTGCCCCAGTTTCCTGCTCTGGGGAGTGAGGGTGACAGTGGTCCCACCCGCTGTATGTGTGAGGGTTCGGCACCTGTCCGGACCCTAGGAAAGGCTTAGGAAACTAAGCCTTTTTTACTCCGGTTTTACGGGAAAGGAAACAGGCTCAAGACGTTTTAGTAACTTGCCCAGGGTCACCTAGTCAGCAAGTGGTAGGGCCCAGGCCTGGCCAACACACCCCCTACCCCCGCTACCAGCACATTCTAGAAGGTTCTGCCTCAGCTTAAATGGGGTGCATGCTGTGAGGGCTATCCCAGGTTCTTCCAGCCCAGCTTATCTTTCCCTCCTCTGGGAGTCCCCTCACCCATGTCTGGCACTCTCTCCCTAATACCCTCTGGGGGCAGCTAAGGGCCTGAGTCCCTCTGGGCATGAGCCCCTGACTCAAGCCCATCAGACAGAAATAAGGAGCTCAGGGAGCACCAGCTTCATGGATAAACGATTGAAGGAATGAAAGTCCGGCTCTGTCTTTCAGGTCTGATCTCAGAGCTGAAGCTGGCTGTGCCCTGGGGCCACATCGCAGCCAAAGCCTGGGGCACCCTGAAGGGCTCCCCAGTTCTCTGCCTGCACGGCTGGTTGGACAATGCCAACTCCTTCGACACACTCATCCCTCTTCTCCCGCAAGGTGAGGCTGGGAGCCAAGAGGGCGAGGGGGGAGGTCTGCAGGGGAATGAGGAAGACCGTGAGACAGCTGAGGTAGACACCTGTTCCTATCGTCCAACCCGCTTCTCTCTATTTCAGACTTGCATTACGTTGCCATGGATTTTGGGGGTCATGGGCTCTCATCCCATTACAGCCCAGGTGTCCCATATTACTTCCAGAACTTTGTGAATGAGATCCGAAGGGTTGTGGCAGGTAAGAAACAGAGTGTCTTTTTCCGAGGGTGCTCTGGGATACACCCTCTTCTCGTTGGTGTGGGGGTAAGAAGCAGCGCTGGCCTGGGAGTGGGTGCCTGGGCTCTGGCCTCAGGTTTGCCAGCAATTCATGGGATACCTTGGGAAAGTTGGAGAAGAGCTTGCTTCATCTGATGGGTCCCCCAAGCTAGTCTCCTGGGTGGACACCCCAGAGGCTGGGAAGAGATTTCTCCAGCCCAGGGACTGGCAGCGAGAGGGCGGTCTGAGCCTGTGCCCAGTCAGACCTGGCTCCTTGCATTTCCAGCCTTGAAATGGAATCGATTCTCCATCATGGGCCACAGCTTCGGTAAGTGCACTGGCCAGGAGCTGACTGGGCCCGAGGTGGGGCTGGGAGAGAAGGATGGGAGCTGCTGCCCCGCCCCTTTCCCCTGAACTTCTGAGAGCGGCAAAGATTGTGTGCCCTCTGACCTCAGGCAACACCTGCAAGGGATGAGGGAAATAAGATGAAGAGGCCATCAGGGCTCAGATATTGAGCCTCCAGCCACCCATATGGAGCTCCCTATCCCTGCCGCTGGTGGGAAGCTTTAGGGTTTGCAGCTGGGGAGGGAGGGAGGGACTTGGGAAGAAGTTTTAGGGTTTGCAGCTGGGGAGGGAGGGACTTGGGAAGAAGCTTTAGGGTTTGCAGCTGGGGAGGGAGGGAGGGAATTGGGAAGAAGCTTTAGGGTTTGCAGCTGGGGAGGGAGGGAGAGAATTGGGAAGAAGCTTTAGGGTTTGCAGCTGGGGAGGGAGGGAATTGGGAAGAAGCTTTAGGGTTTGCAGCTGGCGGGAGAGGGAGGGAATTGGGAAGAAGCTTTAGGGTTTGCAGCTGGGAAGGGAGGGAGGGAATGTCACCCACTGCTCTGTTGTCCCCCAGGTGGCGCCGTGGCTGGGATGGTGAGTAGATGGCTTTGGTCAACTGGAGGTCCCTTGGGTGGGGTGGGGAGTGCAGAGAAGAAAGGGGAAGTTACCTGGGAAGTGTCTCCGAGGAAGTGCCTCCTCTGGTCACAGTATGATAGTTATACTAGGAAGATGGTGTAAACGATGGGGACTCCTGGTGGAGTTAATGCTTCCACCCCCGATGCCCTGTCCCAGAGCATCCTGGAGTCCAGCCAGGGTCTGGAGCTCAGTGCTGGGTGCAGACCTGGGGGGTGGGGGAAGGCACACCATGGGATAGAAGATTCTCCTTCTGATCTCTTGGTCAGCACCCTCCCCCAGCCTAAAAGATGTTTCAGGAAACACCAGGGTCCTCAGGGAAAGCAGGGAGTGCCCTTTCCTTCTTTCCCCCACTTATTCTCCCCTTTTGGCATCCTCTCAGTTTTCCTGTACCTTCCCTGAGATGGTAGATAAACTCATCTTGCTGGACGTGTCACCATTTGCCTTGGACTTTCATGTGAGAAGCTGGGCTTTCATGCATGCGGTCAGTGGGGAAGACCTGGGCCCCGGCCAGTCCTCTCAGCCCTGTCTCCTTTGGTGGACATTAGGGAAGCAGGAGGAGATGGCAGAGGGGGGAAAGGGAGTCGGGGACCTGCCCCCCAACAGAGGACAGCCTTGTGCTGCTTATACCCCTAGGAGTGGTCAGGAGAACGGGTGTGGGGGACCCCTTGGAAACTGTGTGTGTGGCCTGGGATCTGCAGAATGCCAGGCTGGTCGTGCAGTGGCAGGTGGTGGAAGAGGGCAGGAGCCGTGGGTGCAGGACACTCTAGGGCACACCACTGCAGTCACACCCAGTCAAATGCTTTTGCACTGCGTACATGTTGCACAGCCACACATGACAGCCCTAAGTGTGGACTGATGGGACAAGTACTGACCCCTCTGGCCACCACTACCAGTCATCAGTACTGTCCCTGTACCCGAGTCCTGGCTTGGTTGTTTACCTGCTGGGTGACCCTTGGCAAGTTACTTTGCCTCTCTGGGCCTTAGTTCCCTCACCTGTCAAATGCGGTTGGACTCAATGACCTGGCCAACTCTGACATCCTGTCATTTTCTTGCCAAGGGCTCAGTCTCTTGGTTGTGACACAACTCTCATCAGTTTCAGTTTTCTTGTCCATAGAATGACCACAGATCCCATAAGAGCAAGAATGACGTCTCTCTCTTTGTCACCACATCCCCAGTCCTGGCACCTAGTAAGGGCTCAGGCAGTGTTCCTTCCATGAGCTCAGCTAGCTCAGGGGCCATGGTAAGGATCCAATTCACAGATGGCAGGCAGCGGACACTCCCTTCTTTGTGTGTTTCACCCACTGAATTAACAAGCGCAATGCCCCTGGGGGCTTCCTCCTGGGTGAGTCAAGGGGGGCATTTGGTCCTTTTGCCCTCCATTCTCAGGGGTGGGTGGATGGGAGCTGTCCCCCGACCCCGGCACCCCCGGGCAGCAGGCCCTTGGCTGTCCTCACAGTGAGCCACACGTGGTAGGGGAGCTTGGCAGCTCCAGAACTGTACTCCTCCCATTCCTTTTCTCCCATTGAGAATGATGGCATTCGTTGAAGCAGATGAAATCACCAATCCCAGATGGTCCATGGCCTCCGGACCCTAATTTTGTGCCTTTGCAAAGCACTTGGCAGTTGACAGAGATTCCCCTTCCTCTCTGTCATCCCACCTGATTCTAAACTGTCCCTGGCCGCAGGCAGGGCCAGGCTGGCTGTGAGAGATGAAGAGGAAGACTTGTTCAGAATCTTGGGGCTGACTAGCCGGGGCTGGGTCTGTGTCCCCCTTTGCCGAGAGGGGCTCAGCTGGGAGGACAGGGTAGGGTAGGAGGGGCGGGGCCTTGTCTGCAGCCCAGAGCCCTGCTCACCCAGCCAACTGGCCTCCTTAGGAAGTGGAGAATTTGCTGACCTACAAGCGGAGAGCCATAGAGCACATGCTGCAGGTAGAGGCCTCCCAGAAGCCCTTGCACGTGGTCAGCCCGGAGGAGATGCTGCAGAGGTGAGTGTCCAGTGTGAGCAGGGAGCGAGGGCACAGCCGCGGGGTCCAGGGAGAACACCCCATAAGACGCGGGGAAGCTTCTTTCTCCCTCTTGCCCAATAAGCCTGTTTCTCCCTGGGGTCACACTGAGCACCAGGTGTCCCACGGTCTTCACGAACACGATCTGCCTTTCCCTCTGCCCCTGTTGCAACCCCTCCCCATGCTTCTTGCCACCCACCCCTCCCACAAGCACATGCTGCTTCCACACCTTCTCTCCCCTCTGGGACTCCACCCTGGGACTCCCTTACTTGGAATTCTCCCCTGCCCTTGCTTACTGGCTATCCCAATCCTTGGGGCCTCAGCTGGGAAGCCTGCTCTGACACCCCCAGGCGAGCGGCCCCTCCCTGCCCTACAGGTAACCACACTGTCCAATAAGAGCCCGCTGACTGCCCTGTTATCCTGAGGACTGTGAGCCCCGCAATCCCTGCTGTGGCTGACTTGACCATGTTGTACCTCCCGCGTCTGGCGGTGGCCCTGGTGGGTCAGAGCTCCATAAATACTTGTTGCTTAAAGGAGTAGAAGCACCCCACTGCCTTACACACACACACACACACACACACACACACACACACACACCCCCTGCAAACGTGCCATTGAAACACGGGACACAGGTCAGGCGTAGTGGTGGCTCACACCTGTAATCCCAGCACATTGGGAAGCTGAGACAGGAAGACAGCTTGAGCCCAGGAGTTGGAAGCCAGCCTGAGCAACATAGTGAGACCCTGTATCTTAAACAAAAACGGAACAAAACAAAATTAGCTGGTTATGGTGGCGGTCTCAGCTACTTTGGAGCCTTGGGTGGGAGGACTGCTTAGCACCAGGAGGTCAAGGCTGCAGAGAGCCGTGATCACGCCACTGCACTCCAGCCTGGGCAACAAGAGCCAAACTCCATCTCAAAAAATAAAAACAAGCTGGGCATGGTGGCGCGTGCCTGTAGTCATAGCTACTCAGGAGGCTGAGGCAAGAGAATTGTTTGAACCCAGGAGGCAGAGGCTGCGGTGAGCCGAGATCGCGCCACTGCACTCCAGCCTGGGTAACAAGAGTGAAACTCCGTCTCAAAAAAAATTAAATAAATAAATAAAAAATAAATAAAAACAAACACAGGACATGTGTATTGTTTGTGGGTGACCTCCCTTTTGCTGCTCTTCTCTCCTTTTTTCTTTTTTTTTTGGAGACCAAGTCTCTATTCCCCAGGCTGGAGTGCAGTGGCACGATCTCAGCTCACTGTAACCTCTGCCTCCTGGGTTCAAGTGATTCTCATGCCTCAGCCACCCAAGTAGCTGAGATTACAGGCACACACCACCATACCCGGCTAATTTTTATATTTTTAATAGAGATGGGGTTTCACCATCTTGGCCAGGCTGGTCTCAAACTCCTGACCTCAGGTGATCTGTCCACCTCGGCCTCCCACAGTGCCGGGATTACAGGTGTGAGCCGTGGAACCTGGCCCTCCTCTCCTTTTTAATATGACCTCCTTTTTATCAGCCTCAGGCACCCAGCATCCTTCTGTCTCCCCCAGGTTCCTGGAGAACCATAGCCACGTGAGTGAGAAGTGTGGGGAGCTCCTCCTGCAAAGAGGAACCACGAAGGTGCCCACAGGTAAGGGACTCGCTGTCCAAGGCCATTGTATATTTGTTGCTATTCTTACTGAGGATGTCAAGGACTTGCCGTAGACCAGGCAGGATACTAAGCATTTTGCAAACAGCATCTTGCTGAATCCCCCTCTTGCCTTCGCCTCGTCCCATTTACATCAGGAGAAACTGAGGCTTGGCATTGTCAGGCAACCAGGCGAGATCATACAGCTGCTGAGCATCCCCGAAAGCCACGCTCTGCACGAGTTTGGTCAGGTGTCTTGGACCCAATGTTGCTGAATGTTGCGGCCATGCTCTGCTGGACCTGGAATGGGTGCCCAGCACCAGGGGCAGGCTGTGAGGATATTCCAGGGGTCAAGTGACTTGGGAGAGGCTTATCACAGTGGAGAGGTGGAGCTGGTATGTCGACTGCAGAGCAGCTTTTGGCACAAGCAATTTCTGTACTTTGCTTTTTACCTAGGCAATTTCTTCCTTTTTTCTTTCCTTTCCTTTTTTTTTTTTTTTTTTGAAACAAGGGTCTCACTGTCACCTAGGCTGGAGTGCAGTGGCACCATTATGACTCACTGCAGCCTTCACCTTCCAGGCTCAAGAGATTCTTCCACCCCAGCCTCCTGAGTACCTGGGACTACAGGTGTAAGCCACTGTGCCTGGCCCAGGAAATCTTTTCTGAGGGTCCGATATGTGCCCGGCTCAGTGAGGCTGCAGTGAGCAGGAGCAGAGTGTTCCTCTCTGAGTGGGGCCTCCAGTGAGCGTCACCACTCCTGGGGCTGCTGCTCACAGTGAGGGAAATGGCGCCCCCTGGAGTTGGGCAAAGAGGAGTCTGGGCAGGGGCCTCAGTCCTAGGAAGAGATAAACAGGTGAACAGGTACATGAGCGGTAAGACATTCTCTAGATGTAATGAAGGAAATGCACAGGGCCGTGGAAGAGACCCATGGCGGGGCCTGCTCCAGAGGGGTAGTCTAGGCAGCAGCTCTTCCAGGGTGAGGGAACAGCTGGCGGGAGATCGTGCCGTCAGATGGAAAATGTGCTAAGTTGGGCGAAACAGCCTGGCTTCCTGACACTGCCAGCTGGGTGATCTGGGACAGCCCGCCCTCCCTCTTTTAGACTCCCCTGGTTTGCTCAGGTTACAAACAAGGTCTTGGGATTTCTGCTTATCGGGTCAGGCGAGGTGGGCATGTGCCTTCCCTTTTTAAAGTGCCAAGTGAGGCAGGGGTCAGAAGCCCAGCACCTGGGGATGGCGTGGGGGCATGTTGTGGATGTCACCCTGCCGGCTTGGATGGAGGCTGTGGGATGTGTACGGACTTTGGAGCTGGAGCCAGCCCACCCTAGCAGACCGCTGGGCCAGTGCTCATCAGGTGGGAATTAAGTCTCTTGTGGTTAGAATTTCCACTTGTTTAGCTCTGCAGTTGATGTGCTGAGTTGTATGTTTTTAGGTGTCATGAATCCAGAAGTGAACAGCACCCACTGAGGGTCTAAGGAGCTGCACCTGTAGGCTGTTTTGGCCTTGGGCTGCCAGTTTGGTACCTGTTGAGTCTTTGTGATCATCCGTGAACCCTTATGTTGCCTCCCTGCAAACCCATCATGGAAGAAGGGGAGTCAAGGACCCCTGGCCCAGGTGGCTTAGACGTGCCCCACACAGATGGCGCCGAAGTGGGCTAATCTGGAATGAGCCTGGGGAATCCGATTAGGACCAGGTCACAGGAAACGGTGAATGCAGGATGCTGACCAGGCACCCCTGTGTGGGTGGGCAAGGGAGCAGGTGAGAGGGAGGGCTGAGAACAGGGTGATCCCTGGGTCTGCGGAAGTGGGCAGGTGCCTGGAACGTTGTGTGCGGACCACCCCTCTGCAGCAGTTCTGGCCTTTTGGGACCCAGTGTTAACATAAAGAGACAGTACTGGTCTGGGCTCAGTGGCTCCTGCCTGTAATCCTAGCACTTTGGGAGGCTGAGGCAGGTGGATCATGTGAGGTCAGGAGTTGGAGACCAGCCTGGCCAACATAGTGAAACCCCCATGTCTACTGAAAATATAAAAATTAGTCAGGTGTCATGGCAGGTGCCTGTAATCCCAGCTACTCATAGGCTGAGGCAGGAGAATCCCTTGAACCCTGGAGGTGGAGGTTGCAGTTAGCTGAGATCACACCACTGCACTGCAGCCTGGACAACAGAGTGAGACTTTGTCGCCAGAAAAAAGGCAGTACCCAGACCCCTACCTAGTGCCTCAAGGACAATGTAGGTTCTTCCCAAATCCTTCCCCTCCAGTTCCAGAGCACTTGAGAGCCTACTGTTCTGGAGCCAGGCCAAGGACTGGGACAACCTCCCTCCCCTGCCCCCATCATCCAGAATCCAGAGCTTAAACAACCAAGATGTGGCCGCACACGGTGGCTCACGCCTGTAATCCCAGTACTTTGGGAGGCTAAGGCGTGCGGATCACAAGGTCAGGAGTTTGAGACCATCCTGGCCAATGTGGTGAAACCCTGTCTCTATTAAAAATACAAAAATTAGCTGGGCATGGTAGCGGGCGCCTGTAGTCCCAGCTACTCGGGAGGCTGAGGCAGGAGAATCGCTTAAATCCAGGAGGCAGAGGTTGCAGTGAGCCGAGATTGCACCACTACACTCCAGCCTGGACTGCAGAGAGACTGAGCAAGACTGTCTCAAAAAACAAACCAAGCTGCATTACCTCACAGTTTGGAGGCCAGGGTCCAAGGTCAAGGCCTCGTCAGGGCTGGTTCCTTTTGAGGGCTGTGAGGGAGAATCTGTTCCTGCCTCCCTGGCCAGTGGGAGCCTCAGGTGCCCGTTGGCTTGTCTGTGAGGTTCTCCTGGTGGGTTGCAGAGTGCATGAGGAGGGGAGGGCTCGCGGAGGATGCAGAGTGTGGGGGCAGCAGGCATGCCCAAGAGTCTGCAGTTCCAGGTCCTCTATTTGAATAGGAGGGTCTGGGTGGGCCTCATGAGAAGGTGACTTTCCAGCAAAGCAGTGCAGGTGCGGGAGCTGCTCACACAGACTCCAGGAGGAGAAAGGAGCTTCCAGGACAGGCCTGGAGGTGTGAGCTGGTGGTGCAGGATGGGGAGAGAGCAGAGGAGATGAGGTCCTTATCTTCTCATCTGAGTTCAAGCCCCACAGTACTGGCTTTCTGGAAACAGTCTCCAGGTGTTCTACATGAAGGAGGGACAGTCCCGCTCTGCCTGGAGTTTCCTAAGGACAGAGGGACAGTCTTTGCCAGCATCTGGCCCCTGGCCAAGCATATTCACCCACACCTGTAATCCCAGCACTTTGGGAGGCCAGGTGGGAGGATTGATTGAGGCCAGGAGTTCAAGACCAGCAATATAGGGAGATGCCCCCCATCTG